CCAAAACGATTTCAAAACACTTGCTTTCGCAAGTGCTGAAATATGTTAAGCAAAAGATAGTATAGTTATCACTTTAAACCGTGTTTGACGCGCAAACAAGGCACTGAAACTTGCTATCACTATCTGAAATTATAGAGACTTTCTATTAGTACCACTGCCACACGACTTGTTTGCGAACTCGTTTAAGTAGAACCAGTGCCGAAACTAAAGCCATTACTTGCAAAAGTATGACACATATCGCACACAAAGACAGCACTAAGAGATTTCTGGCGAAGAAATCGGCCACTTGTTTGAAACAGCCCTGATTGTGCAGGTTGTTAGGGTGACTCATAGTCCCGCAATTGTCCAACACTGTCTTGCAGCACGAGTCGGGCACGTGAACAAACATCTCATCCCGGTCGTCGGCTGATTTGCCTCTGTTCTGGTTCTGCACCCAGGAGGAATACTGCCAGTCCATGAATGAGTTCACGCCGCAGCACTGGTGGTCTTGGTGTCTAAAACAAAAAATAGCAGCCTAGTTATTGATTGTCTTTACCTTTGAGTATCTTGATGAATGATCCGCTTTGATCGCAGCAGAGATCACATCATAAAAGCTGCATATAGATGGATCAGACAAATACTTGGCATAAAATGACTGAATCTCATCCGAATCCGTTAATGCGAGTTGAGTTCGAGGAAATTAGATAAAATTATAAAGTGAGTAGATTGAAAATACTAATGAAAATTGGGTGATATACCACAATAGGTGGTAGGGTCTATATAAATAGCTGGATCGCTTTTTGTTATACTTGGCACATTTTTATAATTTAATTCAAAAGCTAAATTTTTCGCAAATGAAGTTTAGACTGAATTTTTGAATATTATTTCATCTGGCAGAGTAATGTAATTACAAAAAATATCTTAGTGGTGCTACAATTGATTGAAAATGAAAGGACTATATTATGCATCATAGTTCTCAAATTTAATAAATGCTCTATACTCAAAATAACCACCTATTGTAACATATCACCGAAAATTGACTTCTAGGCAATTGAAAAATTATAAGAGAGAAATTATTAAAATCACTCGTATTGAAAGTAACTGAAATCTTTAGCAGTTAAAATTCATACTGTCGGCTTTGTCATATTTGTCCGTTGAAGATTGAAAAATTGCATCAAATTAGCTAACTTTTTAGAGCATCATTAATACAATTGACTTGTTTTGAACAACTACTCACAGCTGGTCCAGTGCTTTGGTGACGTCGCCATTTGACCCGTACTGGTTGACTATTGTGCTGTTGAAGTGGGACTCCAGTTTCCTGTAGGTCTTCCCCCTGTACACTAGTGCCACTATCACCACTGACAACTCAACTGCGATCACCACACCCACCAACACTGCGTATATCTAAACACATGTCAACAAATGAAACTAACCACTTCAATAGAAAAGCAAAAACTCAGATATACGTTTAAAAAAATTTCATGCAATCTTGTCGTTACCAATGACCTAGTAATATGCTGAGTTGTGCCCAAAAAGTTCCTTTTTAATCGCATAAAATATTAGATGTCACTTTGTGTAAGGGTCGAGATACAAATGCGGTAAAATCCTGTCGAGACAAAGCCGAGACATTAACTTACCGCATTTTTATAAAGACGTCCAAATTCTTTTGGAACTCGTGACAAAAACATACAGCAGCTTAGAGATTCATCACCCATCGGACGAAAAAAGGTGCATAACTGAAGTTCAAAACTGCCAGGATTTTTTGTTTGCTTCGAAGCATTGAAAAACTTTTCATATAAAATTTATTGAAGTTTTACTATCTCTACCAGTGGTTTACTGGTAATATATTTGCCTCTCTACACGAGAAATTTAGTTCGAATCTTGAGATGACCACAAAACCATAGTGACTTCGAAAATTTAGCGCATCTGAAATCTTTCGCTAAGTTTTCATCAAAGCACTGACCAAACTTAGAAGCATGCGCATATTTCTCAGGGGTATAATTGCCTTTGGACCCCTAAACAAGAAATGAATGCATATTTTTGAGCTAGGTGACTATTCAGAAAATTGCGAACAGCTGTGTACGTTATAATTTCAAATTTCGTAGTGTCAATGTTTTGATGAACAAATCAAATTATCGGGACAATGGCAAATTTCAGTATTTTTTGATTTCTTGTCAGGTGGTAGACTGAGACTCTGTGCTATCTGGGCTGCCACTAATTTCGGTCACCGAGATTGGGCGAAAATACAAATTAGCCATATTAATCTCGACTTCAAAAATGACAAATAAAGGATTTTTAAAGACCGCAAAATTTCTTGAGATCCTACCGAACACATTCAAAATGCAATAAACTAAATGTTTCAAAACAAAATGAACATACATGCATTAAAAAAGGATTCCATGATAACAAAAATAGGTACAAGCATGAATAACTGATGCAGTCAGTACGAGCACAAAAAACACGAGCTTCTAGATTTTCAACTGAGTTGAAGCTGCCCCTTCAAATCCATGCACTAAAAAATGATGCTCTCAAAATTCGACACAAAACGAGATTCAATCAAGGTACCTTTCGACACATAAAATCTAAAATATACGGGGACATTTTTCTGAAAAGCCAAACGATAATTATTAAACATTTAAGAGCTCTAGGTGTCTTTTTTTCAAGAGATCTGGTAATTTTCAAGGGACCAGTCTATCATAGTAGTGCTCGTTAGTCGAAAACCACGAGCGCCTTATATCACTCAAAGATTAGTTATGATAACTCCTCAACTTAGACAGCAATGGTTACGTTTTTCTTATTAGAAGGATGAAACCTATTGTTCCGACTTTCACATGTAATGATTTTTGGTAACGCTCTGGGGGTTAGAAAGTTGCCACTTGGGCAAAATTCTGGACTAAATTATGTGCGCTTTGAAAATTTTGCACAGAGGCGCAGCAGCGCTTCGCAAAGATTTGTGAGAACACGACAAAAAGCTGCTATCAAAGGAAATAAGAAAAAGTAGAAATAAACCAAAACTCGGCTACGTGTAGGATTTGAATCTGCTACCTACTGCAATCAAGAGATTTTGAGTCTCACGCACTGTCTCTTTAGCCACGCAAGCTTAACAACCGACAAACACTAGTCATGAATAAAGCAGCTACATACGCTAATAAATTGCAATTGCGCTCCAGCAAAAGTGGCACCAAGAACAAATAGACTCAATTTTGCAAGTAATAATTGGGAATATAACAAACTGAAGACGACCAAACTAACTTTGCACACCACTATATTGTCATGACACGATCCTCGCTGAACTGCTCGTTTTATACTTTGATGATGAAAATGTCACGCGCATTATTTACGCGTGGCGAATTATCCCGCACTGCAAAATTTTTTCCTAACTCAATTGAGGCAAGCTAATTGGTATTATTGTTCCGACTTTCGAAGAAAGTAACGGATTATTTGTGCTCGGGGTGGTTTTTTTCTCCAAACAAATTTCGTCTTTTCAACTAGAAAGTTATGACCGAATTTTTTACACATAGACGGAGCTTCGCATCCCTTGCAATACAATAAAAGCATAGCATTGCAAGCCAGCGAACAGAGACAAACAACTAAGTCGAAAAACTGTCAAAAGCTGAAAAAGAAACACAAAAAGTTGTCTTTAAAGACTGAGTGATTAAGTTAAAAAACTTTAAAATTTTGCACCACAATCAACCTGAACTAATTTAAAAAACCAATTTTTGTCTTTCAAACAATACAAAATAGTTAGCCGATACAACAAGCCAAAACCATTATGACAGAAAAAAACTTTCAACTGAAAAAAGGAAAAGCGAGAATCCAGATTGAGTAAATTTTAAATTACAGGAGAAAATCAAAAGGCCGACAAAACATTTTTTCCCAGAAAAAACTCCAGATTCATTTATAGGCTGTTTGTCATAAGTGCAACATTACTAGGAGCAAAATCTAGCACATTTTATTTTATATGGCGTGTGGGAGGATCAGTCATCAGTTTTTAGCGAACACTGCTCCATAGACCTTAAAAGGCAATCGGAACATTCAGGACTTCGCCCTGATACGAACAGTCTTGTTAATTTCATACACCACTCAAATTCTAGCACTTAAAATTTGATACTATTAGCCTAAAATTCATCCATGATCAATATTTCATTAACCTAACACTAGTCGAGACCAGATGATAGGCAGTCAAGAACATTCGGGCTTCGCCCTTTTTCTATTTATTCTTACTTTAAGCAGAAGTTTCCCCTCTTTAAATGCAGCATACAGGCCAAACAAGGACACGATAACCACGAAAACGCCCACAAACACGAGAGTCCAAGTCACGAATCCATATGTAGCTCCCGATAGGAAGTTTCCATAGTAATCTCTATGCGCCAATGAGAGACATCCAACCACAATTAGAAGAATACCAGCCAATAGGAAGAAAGCATTGGCTATTATCATGATGTAAGTCTGGATACTGCGCGATTCGCAGTCGCAGCAGCACTTTTTCTTCTTTTTCTCCGATTTCCGAGGGGATGAGGATGAGTGCATTAATGAGACGCCCTGAGACCCGTCCGAATAAAAGGGATCCATGATGCCAGTCAGATGAATAAACAATTACTGTACAGATTTCAAGTAAAATAAATCGATTTTTATCTGAAACAATTTGTCAGATAAGTTCAATCGGTTTTCAATATATTGTCCTTTTGCTCAAATATGAAAAACTTCTTGATTTTATTTTTCTTATTTTGAGAGGCTATTTTGAATGCAGCAAACTCGTGTCCTATTTTACACAAACAAAAGTTCTAGAGCTGTTCTATAAATTATTTAAAATTTGGTAGCTTTCGCCTTAATAAAAAAATGAAAGGAATCAAAATTTGGGTGTTTTCAAATGACAGCAACTGTTGCAAGTGTAAAAATTAGTGAACTTGAGCATATTTATTTTTCAATCAGTTGATTGAATTATATCAATTTGCTTTCGCAGCCAATCTAACAAATCAGGGTGAATTTTCTCCTCAGATAGTGGTTGGTAAAAAGCGATCCAGAGAAGTAGTTCAATTAAGTCAAGAAAGAAAACTAACAGCAGGTAGAAATACAAAATCCAAACTAAATCTGTACAAAATTTACACTAGAGAGAGACCGGAGCAAAACATTGGAGCAAAACTAGTAAAATAAGAGTCTACCTTTGGTAAACTTCACTCAATTAGGTTCTGTGAGGCACTAGAGGTGTTAACTTTCAAGAAAGCTAAGAGTTGTTAGTTTAGGGAAAGCTTCGAAAGGCAAGAACAAGGAGTTAGTTTGCAAGACTGTACATATAATACACAACTAGAAGACTCCAAACTTCAAAGCCAATCCTCTCAAATATTCCCAGAAGAATTCAATTCTTGGTTTTGGATTCCTTTATAAGGCATTGTTTCCAGAAACTGTTTCGACCAGAGTTTTGGAGTTGAGGTTGTTCTGATCATGACACTTTAGCAGCAATGGCATCACGAATCTGTTTGTCTAAGTCGGCTATGATTTTGTCGGATGAGTTGTACACTCCTGTTCGCAACAGAGTGTCTCGCTCCTCTATCAGTCTGGTCACGTGGCTCTCCAACTCGTCATTTGATTGGTTGAAAAAGTCAGGTGCACCGTCGCCTGCTGAGTTCATTTGACCTCCTTTGCCTGACTTGCCACTAGATTGCATGTCTTTCAATCTAAACAGTTGAAATGCATGTAAGAACACCTACATTTTGTATGAGCTATTTCTAGTAAACTGCAAAACACTTAAAAGCATGTCAAACGTAACCACCAAGAAATGAAGACGTTTACATTGGTACTATTAGTTGCATTCGGTATTAAGTCAGGAAAACGGAGCCAATTTCCTGGGCAATAACAACAACGGATCCCTGGGAGATTTGAGGTTTAACGTAAACAACAGTTGAAATGTTTGGAAGATCAATAAGCATCTAATCCCAGATAACCTTGCATTAAGAACAAATGCAGTTAGCACATAGTTTAGCATAAAACGCTAAGATCAAACATGAAACCTTTATACACCAACATAGAAAAAAAAACGGACAATTGTGCCAAAAAGTATTCCGAGGCACAATCGATTCTAAAAACACATTCTTCAATAAACAATAACTCTCATTTAATTTGAAAAGAGTTTGTTGTTTAACTTGTAAATTTCCGCCGTATAAATGAGGTTTGATGTTTTTCCTGCTTGGAAAACTTAGCTTCTTGTCGCTTCCTAGCTATAAGCATCGACAATGCGAAACTTGAGAAAAATCGCCAAGGATCCTAGATTAATTCTCTAGTCAGAAACATCGCGTCAACGCACTGAAAAATGCAGTGTACTCTGAAGATGTTATGTGGATGTAATCTTTTGTTTCAGCTTTTTAAAGCCGATTATTGAAACGAAAGTCTTTTAATTAGCTTGATATAATAATTACCATAATTTATTCGTTTTCGAGAAGGGAACAGACTCGATTACTATTTTCACAACTCATTACAAAAAAAAATCATTTAGGAAAAACACTATTGACTGCTTCAGTTCAGAACCTACTTTGTGATTTCCAGCTTGAGCTCCTCAATCTCGTCCTTCTCCTTGCTGGCCAACTTCCTCTCCTCGGCCGCCATGTGGACCAGTCGCATGTGTTCCAGCTGCTGCTTCTCCTTCCGCAACTCCGCCTCCTGTTGGGTCTGGATAGTCTGCTTCAACTTGAACAACTCCTTCAGTGCTCTGCCCCACTCTTGCTTGTAATGGGTCTTGCTAGAGGACAGCGCTTCCACTTTCCGCTCCAGTTCCACCTGCAAAGAGAAAGAGGTGATCAAGCACACTAAGCGATTTAAGTGAAAACCGAATACACGAAAACTGCTGATTAGAAAGTCAACACAGAGGCGAAGTTGCACTTGCATACGCAAGAAAAAATATGACCGAAAACGCTACTGGGAAAAACTAAATGAGTAAAACTTTGAGTCTACAAATTTCTCAAGTGACACACGCCAATTGAGTCTACATAATTGCCAGGTGACGCGAGCAAATTATGGCGCGTTAACATTACCAGTCAATTTGAAAAAAAAAAGAAATTTACCAACTAATATGCCTCAATTTATAGAGCGGACGCATTTTAACTAGTATACGAAAAAGTTCATTTAAAACATCCGACCCTGCCCAGGTTCGAACCCTCTTATCATGCTGCGGGTCTCTTTCCCTACCTCTACGCTACAGATCCATGCTACCTTGAAGCTAAAAGGCTAATTGAATTTTAACATTCTTAGCATTGACTGTACTTAATAGCTGGTTATTGATCAAAAAGACAACTTTCAAAATGAACACCAATATTCTACAAGCTTTGCTTGTGTAATAACAATTACGTACTTTCGGCTGGATTATACTTGGGCTGGTTTATAAACCACCATGTTTGACTGCTATTTAAACAACTCTAAACAGACAAGCAAATTAATTATCTAAGAAAAAGTTCGAAATCTCGAAAAATATCTGCTATCATGAAAAAAATAGATGGCCTTAAAGCTCTTTTGTAGAACAATTTATGATGGACACTTTTTTGTTAAAATCAACCCAATTTGAGAAAACTCGATCAATAGGTAAAACTTCTATTTCGCTGGGAAATCTGATAATTAATTTCCATTTTCGAAATTAGAAGTCGATCACGTTTTTCGTGACCTTTACAAATTTGCTGTTCGATAGTGGAGTTTGCCTTCCTTTTAACAATAGAAATGCACTGAACTTGAAAAAATAAAAAGTCAAACCGCGGAAAATCAAAATTGAGCAAGAGCAAATTTAAAAGACTTTTTCCTGAAAAAATAAAATAAAACAAAAAAAGCAGCAAGACCTTTATGAGTACTCACTACGTTCATTACTCTTAACTAGAATTGAGGATTAACAAAAACGGCCAGAAAACATGCTACAAATTGTAATGGGGATAGGCTTTGAAAAATTGTGAAACGGATATAATTACAAGCACTTAGCCAGTGCACTGTTGGAAAACTGGTAATGAACTGAAAGAAATCAAATAAACAAAATGTTTTTCAAACTAAGTTCAATTTTTTCAATAAGAAAATACGAAAGTCTGTTACACTGACTTTTCCGCAAAAACTAACCAAAAGTAAGGCCTGCTGCGAACTGTCGCTTTCGACGAGTTGCTGCCTCACGGTTATTTTTAACTCTGTTCGGAAATCTAAAAAATAAAATCTAATTAGAAAAAAGGAAGTTCTTAATAACACACTATGCTGATCACAAGTGTAATCAACCGATTTGCTTTTTGAGGCTCTTCTCAAAACATTCGAGATTGTCACAGCAACTCTTTCTTCTGTTTTATATTTCAAAATGTATTGCTCAAAATCAAAAAAACATCTTTGAATTAAGTTGATTGATTTCAAATGCAGTAAGATTTTCATAGACTGAAAAGGCGCTTTTGTTAAAGAAGTGTTTATCCACCCCACCCACTCACCTTCTCTAAGGTGAGGACGTTGATCTGTGCTTGAAGCCTGACTTCTGGCTTGAGATCCAGCTGCTGTCTGAAGTGTTCGAACTCACTCTCCTTCTCCCGCACTCTCCTCTCCGCCCCTAACAACTCACTCTTCACTTTGGCCAACTCCTCCTCCACAAACTTACGCTTCTCCCTAATAGAAACAGAAGGAAGAAGAACATCTGACGGAGGGAATTTATTTGGCCACGTGTTACACTGATGCCGCTTCTGTAAATTGGGCTCGGCTACATTCCAGGAAACAGTTGGTATACTTTTAAGCTTTGCCTCAAGAGATCATTTTTATATTTCTCTCACAGTCCAAATTCAAGGTTACTCTTGGAACCAGATAACTTTTCAGGCCGAAAATACTTCCCGTTTGGCCAGTGTACGAAGAAGCTCATATAAAATTTGAGTCGATTGTACTTAAATATAGTTTGAATGAGAGATGAAATGAGGCTACAAGTAAGATAATACTGACGACCACTGCCACTTACTTCTCCAGTTCTATCTTGTGGAGACAGTCCTTCTCCATCCTGGCACATGCGTCACTCATCTCAGAGTTCTTCTTCTCACACTCCCGTGTCAACTCCACCTTCTGCTGTTCCAACTAAACACACCGCCGTAACAATACTTCCATTCGCTTACCCAACACTCTCCCCTCATATGTTACATAAGGTGCTAATTTAGAGTATACAGCATGTATTCAATTTCACAACTATTATGCATGAAACAGTCAAAATTTACACTTCTTTTGCCAAAAAATTTGGCTTTCGAAACAAATTATAAATAATGTGCGAATTATAACAAAAAGCGATCTGGCTATTAAAATTGAACGAACCACCTATTGTAATATATCACCCATTTTTCGAGGGCCGTTTTAGAATGGTTTGAAAAAACATATCTCCCCAAATTTCGAGAAAATCGCCTAAGAAAAACGTAATTACAAAGCAAATTAAATTTACCAATCATCGTGCATTAAAGACGAGATTTGAGCTAAGCGCTTAAAATACAGACAAGCGAGCATACTCAATTGAACCTTTTGCTATATAAAATTGGTATAAAACATTGCAAGAGCATACGCTCATTTACTGCAAACCCCTGGCCGACAAGTCTTTATTCCGAATTGGTTATAATGGGAACTAGCTGGTAACTCGGTATCCCGCCAGCGCCTCATCAACTTCACTCACCTGTGCCTCATTTTTAGTGAGTAGTTTCTCCCTCTTCTCAATGTGAGCTATGGCTGTGTGCAGTTTGTGCTCCATCTCTGCTGTGTCTGCCATCTTCTGCTTCAACACCAACTCCCTCTCCATGTCTCTCCGCTTCCACTCCTCACACAACGCCTTCATCCTCTCACTCTCCTTCACCTTCATCTAAAATAACACAAACTGACAGGCGATTTATGACTGGCGCTTTTTTATAACATGAACCCAACTTGAGAAAACTGGATCAATAGGTAAAGTTTTTATTCCGCTCGGAAATCTAAAACTTTAATTCCAATTACGAAACTAGAAATCGTTCGTTCGTTCAAGGCAATGCAGACATGCTCGAAATATATCTGCTGTTGACGAAATCAAAAAGTAATTTAAAATGATTCAAATGATTTTTTTAAACAAGTTGTTAAACACCTGAAAAAATGCATGTTCCGATTTAATAATGATGATTTTGGCAAGATTATGGTGTACTGAGATTATGGTGTGCTATTTTCAATTGAGTAATCTATTGGATACTTTATATTACCTGATTTAGAAACAGCTGCTGTTGCTGCTCTTTCCACAGCTGCAACTCCAGTGCCACTTGGTACTCGCTAGTGGCCCTCAAGTCATCAGTGTCTTCTATCTGCACATGTCTACCAACACAGTCGCCTTCTATCTCTGTTTGCTGCTGCTGTTCATTGTTCAAACCCTGCTCTCCTCGTCCACCCATCGGCTTAGTTTCCCCTCTATTATTGTGAGAAGATGACCCCACTAATGTGTGTATCATCTGACACAGTTCGGGATTTAGCTATAAAAAATATCAGTTTAAAAAAGGAATATTTTTGACACCATAAATCGAAAAGACTTTTCAATAATTAACAGCTCTCTTTAATAGCAGCAATAGCTCAAAAACGCCATCTAAATAAACCAATATTTTGACAACTATTCGATTTGTTCTTTGTGCGCGGTCGCAGTTGTCAAAATGATATGCAACTTACCAGGTTAGGATGATTATTCGTTTGTGATCCTGGCATAACAAATGGTGGAGCTTGCGGCAGACGATCACTCTAGAAAAATTGACCCATGTTACTTTTGAGCAAAGCAGTGAATCATTATCTGTTGAGGGTATACTAGACACCTGTTGCTCGTGTTGTAGCGTATGTTTTGATGAGAAATCTCTGTCGGTTGAAATTGTAGGACTATCGCCGACTAGTTTCCGAGCAGCATTTGCATCTTGCTCTAAAATACATTCATCATCATCAAAAAATGTCAACAAAACTTTGACCACTGCATCAGTGCAGAGGCAATTAAGGGAATACCACAAAAAACTCTCAAAATACGAATGGCCAAGCGAGCGTTTTTTAAGCATTGAAAACTGTACTTATGAGCTGCATCTAAATACAGTTCATGCGGTTGGTGTTAGGGCCCTTCTTGACGCCCCTTGTTTTTACATCCGGATAAATAATCGTTATCTTTTTCAGCTCATTCCACCTAGTGCTACAGCACTTCGTCGACGTACGTTGAGACGGTCTCACTTGATCAAATCAGTTATTATTGTTCTAGGTAGTAGGCCGCCGTCTAGTATGCTGATGTTGGCTGACCCCACGATAAGCTTAAAAAGCCCCTGACGGCGATATGGGTGTCTAGGAAAGGTCATTTTAGAGCAAAGTAACATGAGGGCATTTCAAAAAGTAGGCATGAAGGATCAACCATTGGGGAGGGGCATGTCAGATCCATTTCGCCATAACCGAAGAAGCCACCTTGAGGAGCCGGATGACACTCGGAACCATCCAACCGTTACCAGGATTTGAACACGCGAGCCTCATAATGAGAGAAACGTGCCTTACCCACTCGGCCATCGCTTCTCGGCACAAAGCAACACTTGAGCAAACTAACCTGTCGGTGATCGCAGCTGCACTGCAGGCTTCTCTGGTTTCGTGTTCGCCTGTGTTACTTTCTCATTCTCTAGCATGATGCCCACTTTTATTTCAGGCCTCGAATTAGAGTATGAGCAGTTGAGAAGAGGGTACCATTGCGATTGCTACAAACAAAACTCAACTTCGAAAAAACCAAAGAAAAAACATTCTAATGAGGTTCTCATATTAGTTTTGTACCATAGGTTTCTGGTCAGCCTTCTTCAGATCAATCATGACCAAGCCAATGAATTCCTTTTGCTGTGAGCTTACATCTACTGCAAAAACTTGCAACTTTATTGGAGTCCGGTTTAGTCTGAAAAACAAAGATTAGTCGGTTAAACCTATTAGCTTACATTTTGATTCAATATCATCAACCAGAACTCAAAAACAGTGCTTTCAGATATATATACAGACAGGAGCGGATTTAGGATTTTCTCGAGGGGGCAGATTTTCAAAAAATTTTAAAAAACTTTTTTTGGCCGACCAAATTGACATTGTGAGCGTTCCCAGAACACTAGAGACCCTATTTCGAGAAAAGTTTCTGCGTCGCAGGCAAGTTTTTGGGAAAAAAAGGTCAAAAATGCCATTTTTAGACACTTTTCGGAAGCTCGCTGGCTTTTTTTGGCGCGCGCTCCCCTCAAAATTAGTATATATTGGCGTCGAACGCACATAAGAAAAATTTTAGAATTGGTCGGCCGACAACGGATGGTGAGAGAGTCGACCGCTTGGTTGGTGAAGGGGTGGTATCCCCCTTTATTCAATAATCATTAGTAACTACGAAAAGAAGGAAACTAACGGAGAAGCAGAGCTTCACGCCACTTGCGATAAAAAAATGTGCCAGAACTACAGCGTAAAATATTGTAAAAACAGCGACATATTTCATATTTTTTGAAGAATTCAAAATGTTACAAAAGAAGGTACGATCTAGCCATTCTCTATCTAACTGGAACATTTGTGAAGGAGGAATATTGGTACACTTTTACGCCATATTACAGAAATATTCACACAGAGGCAAAGCGGAGCGATCAAGAAAAGAGGCGAAGCGGAGCAATACAACGCAATCAAGAAAAAATATTAAAAAATGAAAAATATTAGGTGAACCAAAATTTTTTTATGTCTCGATGAAGAACAGTGAGTACGTGTTTGATACTTTTTGAAAGTGCTATACTCATGCGGGACGAAAATCGTTTTTCTCAAAAATTGAACTTTGCCTTAAAACCTTAATTGTTAAAAGAGTGAAATTTTTTGAGATTTGGAATTCTTTCATAGGCATAATCTTTTTCTTAAAAAAAATCTCAGGAACAATTCTCTGCAGGAAAAATTCGCGCGACCGCTTCTTTCTATTGAAAATTTCAACTCAGATTTGATAGGGTTATTTTTGAGAAAAAATTTTAAAAATTCTAGAAAACGAGTCAAAGTTCAAAAACTTGATTTTAAGGCTGGTAAAGAACAAGATTCCTAAAATCGGGTTTCTCGATTGAACACTTACCCTGAGAATTGGTACGGTATTTCTCAAGTGAAGTCATAACTTCCAAAACACTGTCAGAGTTTCCAAACCTTCACTTGTTTGAATGCCATATTTTTTTCTTAAAAAACTGGGCGTAGCAAATTATCAACAAAACCTGTTTTGTCCTACAACTACCCATGATATCAGATTTGGCGGGATAGTTATCGAGAAAAGCCCAAGAAACTGTCAACAAATCAGAGTTAACATTTCCGAGAATCATAGATTTTTGTTCAAATCATATCCGTAGCCACTTGATCAGAAGAGATTCATCCAACCTGTTATTTCGATTGAACCGAAAAACTCAGGTTTGACCTCGAGAAAAAATCAAAATGTTTCAGGAAACGGTAAAAAAATTGAGTTTTTGACTTTTCCGAGGGCCAAAAATTATTCCAAAAAGTTGATCCTAGTCGCGCATGCATAGGAGCTTCTTACAACCCTTTCCTTGGATGGAACCCAGCATCTCAGATATGGGACGGTATTTCTCCGTAATATTGATAAAATTTAGAAAAAAACGCTCAAAACAAAAAAAAACTTACTTTTCAGTGGACGATAACTTTTTGTGTATATTTTTGGATGATCTTTTATGCAGAAGAATTTCGATTAAACCCAAATCCTGCCAAAACCAAAAATCTCAGATATGGGACGCATTTTTCAGTAAAACTCGAAAAAAGTTTACAAAAAACCGCTCAAAAAATCAAAAAACTGATTTTTCCGATGACGCTATTTTTTTTGAGTTGAAAAGTTGTGTGACTGCTTATACCGAAAAAGTTCGCCGAATCTCTTATTCCGATTGAATCCAAAACTGAGGTTTGACAAGGTAATTCTCGAGAAAATCAAAAAAGTCCAAAAAAAGTCAAAAAACCAAAATTTGGACTTCTCCGAGGGCCTTAACTTTTTTGTCAAAAACTTGGGCACTCGCGTATAAAAGGAGCTTTCTACTATCATTTTTTTGTATTAAACCCAACATCATAGATACGGGAGGGTATTTTTTGGTAGAAATCGGTTTTAAAACGCTCAAAAAATCAGAAAATTGACTTCTCAGAGGACGATGACTTTTTGAGTGAAAAAAAATGTGAAAAGCCGTTAGTGCAGAGGAGCGTATTACTACCCATATTCTCGATTTCCATTGGAAACTAGATTACAAAAGAGGCCTTCCGTTTAGTTACGGTAAGTGCACAAGCTGGATAGGGTCATACCAGCGTTAAAAAATGCATATATATCAGCAAACTATATCATTTTATCAATGAAGTCATAAGTCAGCGTTAAATGCATCGTCGTAATGTTAATTTATCTTAGCCATCCTTCCTCTGTAATAGATAGCGCTAATGGAGTTATCGATAAATTGAACTTTGCGCAGCGATCTGCTCCCCCTTATACATAGTATAGAGCTCCTCAGGAGAGCGAAGCTTATTTTTAGTTCTTATGTAATTTATCGATTCTGGATGCCTTTATTGTCTTTTTCACTTGGTTTTTCGGCTAGTCGCTGCATCTTGCGCGTGGCTGTTGGAGCAGCGCCCCCATTGCATACGAAAATTAGCGGGCAGAAGCTACTCTGCTCTACGTTTAAAATTCTTTGCTGATATTTGGAATTCTTCAGCGTTTCGTGATATTTATACGCGTCTTTATGCAGTTTTTGCGATGTTTTGGCATGAGGGTTGATTATTTTCACATCAAAGAAAGCGCGGCTAAATCGTGAACCCCAAAGTCCGTTTGCCTTAATGTTAAGTCGTGCCTCATCTTCAGTTGTAGCTGAATTGCTGACAAAGCTTTCGCCTTGCAACGCCTCAAGTTTCGGCTCAATCGCAACGTCATGACAAACCTCGTTCATGAGGTTGGCGAATGTGTCTCTAATATCATTGTGTCTTATGTGTGTAACCACCCTTTGCAGTGTAGCGCATGTGTCAAGTTAAAATTAGCACCACGTGCACATGTGAGTGGGGTTTTGGTCGGTTCCCATCCGTATCTTAATAAGTAAAATCTCTGAATTCTGATTTATTCAGGTTGAAGTTGTATCTGCTTAATGGTAAAGCGTTGAGCCAGTTAGAGCCTTCCTTTTCAGAGGTCAGGTCGATTGCGTATTTATCTGTTTTATTTAAGGAGTTAATGATGTTTGTTTTCTTTCGGTTTATTTTATCAGTTTTCAATTTTTTGATTTTCTTTCATATTTTTTTCTTGCTGTTATTGCTGTAAGAGGATCTTGAGATTCCAGTTCTAGTGATCTTTCCTAAGACCATTCTAGATAGCTTCCATGATCGGATGGCAGCTTGATGTTAAGGTCGCCCATTTTAAGGGGTAAGGAAGAAATCTCACGGAACTCGGGGTTCAATGGGTCTTTACCGATAATCTATTCACATACTTCTGATTTTTCTATAGTGCTAGGCGTTGTCCTGGTAAGAAATGAAAGTTTTTTGAAATCCTTTAGTATAGCTGGCATAAACGCTCTCGGGGGAGGTTTAAGCGATTTTCGTTAAGTTTTTTCAAAACTTTGATTTGCTCATTCTGTTGAAACTCGAGGAATTTTTTGCATTCAGATTCTGTTCCTATAACTGAATCAAGCACTCGGGCCCCTGCCTTTACATTGGTTCCTGTAATTTCGAAGATTTTCTCAGCTTCACCGAATTCATCATCTTTGGCAATGAGTTGGCATTTGGATGCTTTAACATGGTAGCAAAAAAATTACCATTGATACAAATTTATCGAGGATGGTTCGTAGATTGCTTTATGTACCGATGCGGTTCCGTCGTCTGCGTACCAATTCTGGGTTACGTTGTCTACTGATAAAAGTCTTATGATGGGTAATATGGCTAGACCGTACATGACCATTGCTAGTGGATCCCCCTGGGTTGTCCCTTCTTGAGAGTAGATGGTTTTTTTGTTAACGAACAGTTTAGATGGATTGTAGTAGGAGTTCTTAATTGCTGTTAAAAGAGATGGGTAGGTATTTTCGATGTTTTTCAATGCCAGCTTTCAATTTAGCGAGTTGAAAGCGTTTTCGGCATCTATCAGTAAAACAGCATCGGCGGAGGGTTTGCTGTATTGATCTCTTAGCAAGTGGATCGCCTATTCAATGCCACATTTTTATCCAAGACAGAGTTGATAGTTTGAACCGAGCGACATGAGTTCGCTTTTTAGGCATTTGGTTATTGTCCGTACTTTTATCCTAGGCATAACTTCTCCTATGCCTATGGGTCCTACTCCTAGATTCTTTTATAAGGGTATTAATTTACATGCATTATATGGTTCTGTTAGTTCTGGATTTAGTTCTTCGGTAGCCAATTTTTTGGCAATTTTAGCATGTTTTCGAAATCTCGACTGATTGTTTCCCGAAGTGTGTTAAAATACGTCTCCGTTCATTTGCATAAAGGCTAGATGGTCCATGAGATCTGTGCGTTCTCATGGCTTCTTTCTTGATATGTTGACCGTTTCTCTGATGAAACATCGATGGATGGAAAGGAATTGTTTCATTTGAGACTAGTGTAATCTAGTTCTCATCAATTGGTTCAGATGGTGGGTGCTTCTCTATAAGAGTCTGTTCTACTCTCTTACCTTTCAAAATCGCCAAAAAAAATCAAGCCGTTATCTCGATTGAATCTACAACGTCAGGTTTGGGAGGTTAGTTATGAAAAGTTAAAAGGAATCAAAAAATCAAAAATTTCACTATTCCGAGGGACCTAATTTTATGAGTAAAAAATTTCGGCGTAGCCGCTTATAGAAGGGAGCTTTTGAAATCAGTTCTATTCAATAAAACCAAAATTTTATATTTGGTAGGTTAGTTTTTGAAAAAATGAAAGAAACATCCCAAGCGTCTCAAAAAATATATAAAAAATCCTATCCCATGCATTTTCATAAAACCTGTTTTTATCAAACATGAATTCCAGGCAAACATGCCAAGCCAAACATTTGATATTCAAATTAGCAACTGAACAAAACTTAAGAGCTGGAAACAAGCAGGCACCAGTTGAGCCCAGAAAGATTTTGTGAAAAACTTTCATTAGGCTTCAGGTCCCAAAGCATCATCAAAATCGCCTAAATGGTACCCTAGCATCATCAAAATGGCCTATATGATCATTAATAACTAAAATTGAATTTGAATAAGTGATCCATCTGATTTTGTTAACCTAGTTGTTAAACCGAAAAAAAAGGTCTACTTTCCGATTTGATAACGCTTGCTAACCGCAAGAGTAATAACTTTTAACAATAATAAAAATCAAAAAATTGATTAGAAGACGCAAAATATTCCATTCTTTTGAAAACAAAAATGATTTAAAGAAAAGTAGTAAAAATTTCATAATGGGCTCCAACTATTTTTAATAACAAATTGCCAAATTATATAAGAACATCACGAAACTTTCTTGAAACGACATTCCTCGCACAGGACGAGAATACATTGAAATAATTGTGAAATTTACCACAAACGCTTACATCATAGGCAAATTCTGGGTTTTGGCAACAAAACTTACAGAAAACAAGCAGACAAATAAAAGCCCCACGAAGATTTTTTGTCAAAAGGAAAAATTTCTTAAGAAACACAGGTATTGGCCGAATTCGGACCCCGTACCTTTATGTTCGCAGGATTGAGCTTTACCTCTACGCCATATGTGCGAATTGAAGGGAAAACACGTACCACCAACAAAACAGATGCTATTTAAGGCTATGCACCATAAATTCCACCAAATAAGCACTTTCATTTGCGAGTTGGGTATTGTGGATTCCAAATATAACACTACGCTGGCTTGTGTTATTATGTGAACGGCACTACGATTATCTCACCGATGCTGCCGGAATGACTTCTTATCAATTTCCCACGCAAGTTCAGTGCCAATCTCTGGAGTGTCTACATGATCCACAGGGTCCGTGGAAAGGTGTTCCCCGTCAAACTTTGCCTCTACACATAGCTTCCAACGATTTCTCTTGGGGAAAAAACGACCTGAAGAAGGCTGATTTGATTAAATAGAAAAAACAATTTAATATGATAAAATAGTCTCAGAGAAACATAGAATTTACCGGCTTGAACTGACACTACAATCAGCAGATACTGTTTGTTTTCAACCATAAATTTTCTGAAAAAAAACGAGTGATCCCGAATTTTTGTTAATTGTTCCGACCATTTAAACTGGGGAGGAACAATGTTTTACACATAAAAATAGATCTCAGAGAGTCCAGGTTAACTAAAAGCTAACAAAAAAATTATAAAACAAACTGCATATAAATTTTGCCTTATTTTTAATAAGGGAATTAATTCTTTTTTGTTGTTGTTGTTCAAATAAACTAAACAAAAATTGAAGCTGAACAGGTGAACAAAATTGTACCATTCGACCAGAAAGCCGCCAAAAAACTGTTCGACGAAACGAATTTTATAGTTCGGCGAACGTATTTTTTCAGGGAGTAGGATCGTACGAATTAGCAATTCTGACAATTAACGATCCTAATTGTGGAAAAGAGCGGATTAGGAAGGGTCGATTTAGATCGAATTGTGCCATTCCCCCGGATTGGCACAGTCAAGCTTGCCGATGCACGTCAAAAAGAACATGTTCTAGAAGTTTAAGTTTTCAAAGGTTTCGATTCGAGCTAGAAAATTTCTGAGAAATGCAAAAAACGGCCATTTTGACAGGAAAAAACGAAATAAAACAACAACTGGATTACAGGACGGAACCTAGTCGAAAAATAGAAGAAAAAACGAAGCTTCTTATCGCGACATCAAGGCTCGATAGGGTGTTTATTGGAAGATCGTGTAAACGGAAGGTCCACTGGGACATTCGGGACGGATCCGAACCCTCCCGTGCCATGAAATCAGAAAATTAACGACATTATTTCCGGGAGAGTGTGATATTGGAGGCCCGGTGCCCAGAGATGTTACAGACATTAACGGTACATTCAATCAATCAATCTACAAGAAATCATTAAAGTTATAATGTCCGTGACATCTCTCGCCGCTCCAACATTTGGAAGTCGTCAGACTCGAAGTCTTTTCTGAAAGTTTTAAAAAATATTTGCAGCTTTCTGTCCTCTTCTTTTCCTATAATAATAATAATAATAAACAAGGATTTAGACATAAAGCCATGGGGCTAAAATGCCCCGCGTTGGGAGTTTTAAACTGAGTTTTATAGTTTCTTTGAGTTTACACAGCTATTGCAGCAGTTTATTCTCCATGTGCATGGGACACTTTCCTCATATTTACTGATAAAATATATCCAGAAAACGTTTTTGAGGCTTGATTTGAGTCTTTCGTATTTCATCGCAAACAGGTCTTCTTCTTCCTGAGTCTGTAAAATTTTGTTTACTAGTATAGGTGTTCTGTGCCAGAAATTGCTTTTCGATTTTTCGTAATGATAATTTTTATGCGCTAAGTTATTTTTCGTTGATCTTCTTGTTGGGGCTGTAGATTCTTTGAACTGAACAAATTGTCTCCAATGGAAGTTGTATTGGTCGTTTATTATTTTATGAAGCAAGAGAATGTCTTGCATTTCGTGGTAGAGAGACAGTGGAAGCAGGTTTAATCTAATCAGTCCGTCTTTATAGTTGATGTTGTTACATGACAGTATCCAACGTGTAGCTTTTCTTTGGACATCTTCAATAATTTTTAATTCACACTTATTTGCTTTCCATATGGGTGAGCCATATGACACGATTGGGGTTATATATCCACAGTAGGAGTTCAGTTTCATTTTTAAGCTCGCTGATTTTGAAATATTTCTTTTAATTAAAAATAAGCAGCCTATTGCTTTTTGGGCTCTTATTTTTGCGTGTGCTGACCAGTTTAGGTTGTTGGTTATTTGTATACCAAGGTCTTTTTCTGAACAGGTTTTTTCAAGTATATGGTCACCGAGATACATGTTTAGGTCAAGTTGGGGGTCTTTGAATATTATATTGTGACATTTTTTCAACTTAAGACTCATGGAATTATCTTTGCACCATAAGTTGATCGTGATTAGGTCATGTTGGAGCAGGGAAGGGTTCGTTGCAACAATTTTATAATCGTCTGCGTAACCATAGCACGAGTTGGTGAGTGATGACGGTAAATCGTTGATGAATGTAATGAATAATACTGGCCCTAACAGTGAGCCTTGAGGTACGCCGCTACTAACTTCAAGATGGCTGGATACTGCCGCACCTATTCGTACTTGCTGTTTTCTGTTGGTTAAGTAGTTTGCTAATAGTTTAAGTGCGTTTCCTGATATGCCAAATTTATTGAGTTTATATATGCACAAGTCATGAGGAACTTTGTCGAAAGCCTTTTCGAAGTCTAAGTATATTGCCTGTAGAGACTTGATATTAGGGTTATCAAAGTCATCATAGATTTTGTCGAGGAATTGGAGCATTTGCAGAGTTATCGATCGTTTAGGACAGAAGCCAAATTGGCTGTCATGGATTTGCGAGAAGATCTTTGGTGAGATTTTAAGGAAGATCAGTTTCTCTAAGACTTTGGATACTGCAGTTAGCAGGCTGATGGGCCTGTAGTTTGTGACCGATTGCTTGTTTCCATTTTTAAAAGTTGGGATGATTTGGCTAAGTTTCCAGATCGTTGGAAATGTTGCTTTGTTGGTGATGGTGTTATAAATCAGTTTTAGAGATGGAGTTATGCTATCTGCTAAATTGGTTAGGACTGTGTTACCGAGTCTATCTGGTCCTCTTGCTTTTTGGAGGTTTAATGTTTTAAGGATGTCGTATATCTCATTTTCAGAGAAATTGAAGCATTTGATTGAGCCAGGTAATTCAGCTATTGGTAAAATGTTTTCATTCTGTTTAATGATAAAAACGCTTACGAAGTAATTGTTTAGAATATTAGCTTTACCGTGCTCTGTTGATTCGGTTTTTTCATTCCAGTACATTGTTTTTGGAGTACTTGAGTTTTTTCGTATGCTTTTAAAGTATTTTTGGAGCTTTGAGAAATTTCTGCCCTTGAAAGTTGATTCTTCGAAATTTTTCTGATCTAATTCGGATAAATGATCTACAAGGTTTTTAAGTCTTTCAAGATTGAGGTTATTGGTATGAGTATTTTTAAAGGCTACTTTTTTGATGCTGTATTGAGTCTTTTGATAATATTGGAGGTTTCAGGTGTGATCCAAGGTGCTAGGTTCATACGGTGTTTGGTCTGTTTTTTCATGTGTTTTTCTAGTGCTATCGTGAGATGTTTTTCTAGTGCTATCAGCTTAAGAGATGATATCGTGATTAGAAAAGGGTTGTGGTCTGATAATTCTCTTTCTTGGTGTGAGAAGTGTTTTTTCATATGGTTGTCTATCGTGGTGTTTAAAATAATGTCGGGGTTGTTGCAAAGGACAATATCTAATTGGTCATGAGGGGGTTCGATAAACTGTTGAAAGTTCATATCAGTAAAAGTCTGCAGTACTAATTGTTCGTGTTTTTGGGTTGATTGCAAGGTTTGCCAATGCGTATTAGCGAAGTTGATGTCACCAACCAATAAAATATTTGGGCATTGAAATTCATTTGAGTAGTCAGTTAGCAGATTCAATAGTTTGTTGAAGTCATCTGTGGATAGCTTATATTTGCTTTCGTTCGGGGCACTGTAGATACAGCATAGGATGAGAGGTGTCGGAGTGTTAAGGAGGAGTCCAACGCAGTCCGTAGTGTGTATTTCAAGTTTTGTGAAAGCTAGGGATTGCTTAACAGCAATAAGCACGCCCCCGTGTTTCGATTTTGTTGAGTTGGTAGGTCTGTCACATCTAGTTATTATGTGTGCAGGCAGAAAAAGCGCGTTGTCAGGGATATTTTCAGTTAACCAAGTTTCGCTTAAGCAAATGATGTCATAATCGTTCGATAGTATTATATTGCTAAGTTTTATACGTCTATTTATATCCAGTATACTTCGTGTATTGAATGACATAACATTCAGCGATTCTAGTCAGTTGTCATTTCTAGTTTGAACTGTGCTGTTTTCCTCCGGTTTAATTGTAACTTTCGTCCAGGTGTCGTCTACTTTTTCATGCAGTTCTAGGTTTCTGATTCGAAGATTTTTGGGGTTTTTACCACTGCTGATGAGATTTCTACGTTCTCTCAGGATGGCGTTTTCCAGTTTCATTTCTTCGACTGAGAGTTCCTTACTTATGAAGACATTTTTGTCATAATTTTTCAGGGCCGGTGTTGATGATAGTATCAAGTCTATTTCTCTTGGACAGGTTACTCGTACCAGTATAGTTCTGTGGTTTGCTCGTTCTTCGCTGAACTTTCCCACACGCTTGAGATCAGTGATATTGCATTCGAGGTTTAAGAATTTCATGATTTTATTTACCTCATCATAGTCATGGTCAAGTCTTTTTCTTCCATCTCTTTCCTTGATCTCGGGGACCCCTCTTATTCTCAATCCTTTGCTCAGGGGTTTGATTATGTTTTGCGCCGCTACTTGTGACCAGGTTTTACCCTGTTCTGCTATTGGCAGGCTTTGGATGGGATCTTTAATATTTTCCATTTTTGTCGAGACTTCGGCTACTACTTTACTTAGTTTTGAAATTTCTTCTTCAATTTTTTTGATGTTTTCACTTTTGTCATGTGATGCTGCGCTTCTGATTACTTGATCTCTTTTTCCGTTGGACAAACAGGTATTGCATATCAGTAGTGCGTTGTTCCCAAGTTCCAGTATTCCATTGAGTGCAACGGTCGAGAGGCCAGTGCAGACAACTTCAAGGTGCATAGAGCAATTACAGGTGATGCAATTGTATATTGGGTCATTTTCGTTTATGGGTTTCTTGCATGTTTTGCAAGGTTTTTTGTCTTTTGACATTCTCAGTTTTATTTATGTTTGCGTCCTCTTATCTCTGTGGAAACTGTGTTTGGGGGATGAAGGTTTAGGTAGTGTACTCGAGTCCTCAGGGTGGTACCTAAAGGGCGCCGATTGAGGACTGAAGTATCAGTATTAGGGTTATGAAAACAGTTGTTTGGGACCTTAAGGGTACTTGATGACTAGCGGGAGAAAACGGTTTTATTTATAGATGTGAATTCACAAAGACATCAAATCTGGCGATACCTAAAGGGTATCAATAGAAAATTCAGTCTCTGTGAAAATGATGACACCGACAAGTGTTGTTGCCGCAGTGGTATATATTCGAGTAGCCCTCGCTATCAGTTTTTACACAGAACTTCTTGTAGATGATCTTCTTTTTCAAAATCGTTTGGAGACTCGCAAGCGATGCTGTTGTTAAATGCACTTCGTCGGAAGATAGAACAGTTTTGGTGGTTATTCCTTTCGATATACCGCGATATCGCCAGAGTTCTTTCTTTTTGCGAAGAATATCGTTTACACGTTCCGTTCGGGCTGGTCTTCCGAGTCTGGGTGGTAGAGCGATAATGAAAACTTTATGGCAACGTTCTGTCAGCCGTAGGCCAAGTTGGGATAATTCTTCAGCAACGTCTTCGGGTGTTCTCGTTGAGTCTTTTTTGTCTTTCGTAAATAGATCGTTAGCACCAATGAATAGAGCTATAATATCGTATTCGTTCTTGCGGGGCAGGAAGTTTAGAACATCCGCGATACCTGCACCAGGAAGGCTGAGGATATTGAAATTTGGGAAAGTTAGATTTTTCAATTGTGAGTCTCCGATCAACAAGTGTTGCGACGACGATTTCTTGAATATGTGAAATCTCATTGGTTTTCACCCATCCACGGCTAGGAACGGACGGGACTTTTTTCGTTTCGAATAAGGCGTTCTTGTTCCTAGCTACAACTTTTCTGAAAACACACAGTTTGAACGAGGGAAGAGGAACTATTTAATAAGTTTGTTCACGTGCTCATATATTGACGTTGCTGGTTTGTGCTTTTCAACTTCCAGCCACTACTGTTGATAAACTCGGTTCTCCTGTTCTAGAGTACAGTTCTTTGTTGGAAATAATTTTTGGGTAGTACAACGTCTTGTTTTTTGCCAGTGCCTTTGTTCGTAGCCCACGTGAAACAGTTGTTGGTGGATATGGATATAAGATACGTATGGTAGGTACTTATATTCTTTTTGATGGTGACGTATGGGATTCTTCCAGACAGGTTTACACTTGTTCAGCGCAATGTTGGACAGCAGTTTTCGTCTGCTGATGTCTGCAGTGTCGCCAAGGATTGAACCAAGCTTTTTGCTCTTCGTTAGGTTACTCTTGCCGTCAATTTTTGCGATCCCAGTCTGAATTTTTGCAAATAAAATCAGCGTCATCGGCATATTCTATATGAGGAGGTAGAAGTACACGTGGTAGAGCGAAAGTGTGATCTTGGGTACCTTCGCGTGCTTTATCTACCTCTTTCAGAGCGGCGTCCAGGTACAAAGTAAAGAGTTTGGGGCTGAGAATGTCGCCTTGTGGAACTCTTACATTAGTTCTGAACGTGTCATTAGTGTTCTTCCCAACTTTGACTGCCCGAGTCGTGTTTCCAAGAAGAAATCTCATGTTGCATTCCACCTTGTCTAAGATTCCTTCCAAGATTTCCAGTAATTTGCTTGTGTCAAACCGTGTCAAAGGCTTTAGACAAGTCTATACCAACCACGGTGGTCTCGAAATTTATCTTAATACTACCTGGTATGAGTAGTTTGTGCGCTAACATCGCGTCTGTGGTACTTTTGTTCTTGCAGTAGGCATGTTGGGTGTAACTCATGACCTTTTCTAGTTTCCCGCCTATGCGCCCCATTGTTATTCTTGATAGTGTTTTCTCAACACTGATAACAGGGTTATTGGCCGGTAGCTTGTAGGTTTATGTGCCTCCTTCGAAGGTTTCAGGACAGGTACAATTAAACCATGTAGCAAACCTTCATCTCTGTTTTCTAGCATGGTATTGAGCTTTTCAGCTATTTGACAGGCCTTCATGTTCTTCAGGTCTTCTGCTTTGATTCCATTAGCTCCTGGAGCCTTCTTGTTCTTCAACTTCTTCATGTGTTTGATGACTTCTTCTTCGGTGATGGGGTTAAACCTGCCTATGTCTTTGTCATTATCGGTTGTTTGGTGTTTACCATTGTGAAAAAGTATCCTTATAGTGATAGGAAAGTGTCTTCAGACTTGGCATTTCTTCAGTACTTTGCGGTTTGCTGAACAACTTTTTGAGAGCAAGGGCTACTTTTGCAGCGTCTTTGGTGTTGTTGATGTATTCGGCGCTGCTGGTTAGTTCTTCAACTGTGATCTCTGCCTTCCTCTTTTTGATCATTTTAAATAAATAGCATCTTTCTCTCTTCCCTTTTGTAATATTTCGCTGATTATTTGACGGAAAAATCTTCGTTCTCAGTATTTTCTGCTTATCAGAGAGTTCAGTGAGCATATGGTCCCTGCGTTTCCATTGAACTCGTGCGTGCTTGCCTCCTTCATAGTCAAGTTATCAATGCATCACAGTTGTCACCATTCTGTGATCCGTGTCTATGTGGTTCTTGATATAGCTTCTCGCGTTTATTAGCGCCTGTCTCCTTCTTTGTTGAACAAGTATGTTATCTATCTGGTTGAAAATTATCTTGTTTTTCCTTTTCTGCTCAAAAATTGTTATATGGCAGGCTTTAGCCTAATTTTTTCGTTTCTTTTTTTTTCCTTTTTTACCAGGTAATCAGAAGGTCAAAAGTATCATAGTAACCGAGGTTACAGTCATGAGTCCCTTCATCATGTTTTCCAGTCAAAATCCTTGGAATTTTCTAGATATGGAAGTGATAATGATAAAAGAAGATGAAAGTGTTTAAGTCCTTTTCAATTAAAATCGATACGGGTTACGTTTCTTCAATAAGAACACGCAACTCGACACGAGATTGTGCCAGTCGGTCATATTTGGAAGTTTGACCTTGAGAGAAGCAAAAAACACTTGATTTTGGAGTGAAATTTAATTTTTCAAAATTTCGAATGGAACCTGTCATGCACGATTTTCTCGCGAGAACTGAAAATCAGAAAAAGAGATCAGAACAATTTCAGAACAATTGAGTCAAAAACGCGGGAAAGTCGCAAGAAAAAGCAGTAGGAAATTGCTATTCGCAATTTCCATCACTATAATAATCGAGAGTAGAGCTGTCCCATCTGTGACAGAGACGAGAGCATTCCCTCGAATTGGATTATAACGACTGGAGTATTATTCGGAACTGGACTAGAGTGAACCTTCGGTGGAAAGTTGGACAGCTTGAGTGTCCTAATGGTTCACAAGAAAACTATTGTCTAGAGTATAAACTCGTTCTCATTGTTAAAACTATAAAACATTAGACTCATTTAGTTACGTTATTTAATTCTTGAGTTAGTTACCGACTGGATTATTTCCCACTTCTTGAGCGTGCTACTATGTGAGTACAAATTTAAATTCCTAGAGTGTGTTTTATAATTGTTATGTTGAGGTAAGGCGAGTTTTAGGTTGATCCATCTGAAATGGATCAAAGTTACACTGTCTAATAAAAAGTAACTTAACGGATTGTTCCAACCCGGTTTTTAACGGCGTTCATGTATTTTGGGTATCTAGAGACCTAAGTATGGGGACGTTTCTAATTCTAGAGTGGGGGGATATTTTAGTAGTAGCCTTTAAGCTGTAACGGGTCGTAGTCTCATGTCACAAGCGAACCGAACTGGCTCCGACCGTTCTTGAGGTAGAAAAACACAAGAGATAGTGTCCCTGACCCTTGAGCCAGTGGTTATAGGGCCTATTTTTCTTAAGCCTCATGTGTGACTGCAGTAGACGAATGTTACATAGTGTTTTTATGGCGCTCCTGGGTGTTTACGACATCAAGACTACGGAGTCGAACCCACTTGAGACAGCTTCGGGCTGAATGCCCATTCTAGAGTACCGGCGGTACGGTTCGACAGGAACGTGCAAACCTTCCGGTTGTACCGTGATAGCTTTTTAAGAAAACTCGAGAAAATTTCCTGGTACGCTCTCCGAACGAGGCTTAGCTAACCGAGTAAAGGGGGGCAACTAGGGAGACAAAAACACGAGCAAAAAGACAAAAAGCAAAACAAAAACCAAAAAAGAATAGAAAAAGGAACAAAAACCATAAAACGAAAAAAGACAGTGACTTTGACACCAGATTAGTTGGATCAAACCTTTATATTAATTAAATAGTATACCCATACTGTTTTACAAGTTCGATCGTTTCGATCAACCTAGCAATTTAAACCAGTAAACTGAATAAAGTGCCCGAAGTGGGGCGTCGTCAAGGGTTTTCAGATAGCTTGGAACTTAGCTGGACCAATAGGAGACTTGACTGGAAGAGGTGACCAGCCGAGTGGGAAAGTGCTTCAGGGACACTTGAGCTGAACCAATAGGAGACTTGACTGGAAGAGGTGACCAGCCGAGTGGGAAAGTGGTTCAGGGACACTTGAGCTGAACCAATAGGAGACTGGACTGGAACAGGTGACCAGTCGAGTGGGAAAGCAGCCAAGAAGGATTTGGCAATTCTCGAGTTCTCAAGTTGGGCAGAACGGGTATCGTTAGAATCCACATTACATTATAGGAGATAAGTGTAAAATTGGATAAGCGAAATCCCCCAGTTTTGAGGAACGTTTTTACTTGAGCAGGCCTGGAAACAGGTCTACGGTTTTCTCTTGAGAGGTTTAGCACCCGGCGCTTAAAGTAATTTTTAGGCTTAAGAAGGGGGGCTAGAAAGGGGGGAGGTTAGAAGGGGGACTGGTTAAGTTAGAGGTTGGCGGTTGTAAATTGTAAAAAGGGGGAAATTAGAGTAACTAATTAGTCGACATCGTTGACTTAGTTACATTAGAAATTAACACGCGTTGGTAATATTAGGTGGAGATCCAAAATTCAACTCGAGTTAAGACTGGTACGCTGGTTGGTTTGGTAGGGGGGACCGGATATAAACAGCTTTTGTGAAACCCCACAAGATCACTAGTGGGGGGAGGAAAACGCGTGGCAATTAGGTACCAGACATTTTTTTCGACGAAAGGTAGACATTGGTCACCTTTGAATTTCAGGTGGGCTCATTTTTCTGTTTTTATTATTTTTCTTACTTAGATTTTTGTTGCATTTTAGTGAGGATTTGTGTTTGGTTTTATACGAACAGGTGATCACAAGATACCTGCGCACCTACATTGAAATAGAAACAACCAAAAAGAAGAGGGGGGTCAGCATTTGGCTTTTAAGAGAGGGTTTTTGGGAAAATTTTACTAGAGCTTGAGTGGTGGTACAAGGTACGGTGATTCAAGAAGACCCTACAACGAGGAAGACACTCCGTGACGAGTCTTGGGACAGTACCGAAGAAGTCTTGGGACAGAGCAGTCTTGGGACAGTGGTCTTGGGACAGGGTCTTGGGACAGTGGTCTTGGGACAGGGTCTTGGGACAGTGGTCTTGGGACAGGGTCTTGGGACAGTGGTCTTGGGACAGGGTCTTGGGACAGTGGTCTTGGGACAGTGGTCTTGGGACAGTGGTCTTCGGACAGGGTCTTGGGACAGTGGTCTTGGGACGGGGTCTTGGGACAGTGGTCTTGGGACAAGGGTCTTGGGACAGGGTCTTGGGACAGGGTCTTGGGACAGTGGTCTTGGGACAGGGTCTTGGGACAGGGTCTTGGGACAGTAGTCTTGGGACAGGGTCTTGGGACAGTGGTCTTGGGACAGGGTCTTGGGACAGTGGTCTTGGGACAGTGGTCTTGGGACAAGGGTCTTGGGACACTAGTCTTGGGACACTAGCCTTGGGACACTGGTCTTGGGACACTGGTCTTGGGACAGTAGTCTTGGGACACTAGCCTTGGGACAGTAGTCTTGGGACACCAGCCTTGGGACACTGGTCTTGGGACACTACCCTTGGGACACTAGTCTTGGGACAGTAGTCTTGGGACA